GCCATTTTTGCAAAGGGGGCAGGGTTTCGGTAGGCCAAAAATGCTGCATTCAGTGTATAAGACGCTCCCAGATTTTCAGCCTCTTTTTGGGGTGAAAAATATGAAAAAATGTGATACTTCTCTGTAGTTATCTGAAGGGCTTTATAAGCAGAAAGGTGAGAATACTTGTGTACATCTCAAACACTAAGCAAAGCACCTTTGGAAATTCCATCACTGCGTAGGAAGAACAATAGCATAGTATATTAATCAGCCATGAGCGTAGGCAGATTAAGGTTACTGGATCTCAATAATTATTTTGGCAGGTATTCCATAATCATCTTTGGCAATTATTTTGTCTGGATCGGTTGGCAGCAATAGGCATCGAGAGACAAGGAAGGGAACAGCTCCGTGTTTTATCTGCAGCTGACAACATTTTTGGGTTCACCGGCCTAATGGGGGAAGCCTTTAGGGGTTGCTGTTTTATGTTAGACCTTGCAGCCCTGCTGGTTTTCAATCTAAACGATGGATTGAAGCCCACCTTGTCACAGGTGTGAGGAGGGCATATCATTAAAGAGAAAGCTGTGATGGGATCAGCCTATAGTACTAGATTTGTAAAGAGTGGAAGTTGGAGAATTGGGAGGAGTTGGTGGGGGGAGGATGATTCACAACGTAAATAAGATTACAAGATCAGGCTTGAGATGGCAAAATCTAATAATCTTCATCATTTTCTTTGGCAGATATACTGGGGACTTGTAGTAACCTGAATTGGAGAGGTTGTTAAACTGGAAGGATTTCTTCTGAGCGCTCCTGTCTTTGGGCAAATATTTATTCATAAATTGTTTCAGAAGGTATATTGATGCAATACACAATGAGGACAACCCTGTAATTATGTTTAGATTCATGCTATGTGGGAACCCTTGGAAAAACACCTAAGTGAACGAGTGTGAAATATATACACTACCTTTAAAATCCATAACGAAATCTAAAAAAGCCTTTTAATCCCTTTATTTTCCTCTTCGGTGTGAAAAAAATGTAATCAGTTGTTCTTTGAAAATGCTTGGTAAATTAGTGATTGGTGGTGGCCAAAATCTTCTCAAGAAATCAGCTATTGACCGTATAAATGCAAAGTTTGCTTTGCGGTTTAACAAGTCATTTCTCTCCCAATTCCAAAGTAAAATTAGACCCATTTCATTTAAATATGAAAAAAAAACTTAAATATTTACATTTAAAACAGAGGAAAAGAGCAAACATACCTTGTAGGATTCTCAAGATGTGAAT